ATGTTTGTTGTTGTTTGATTTATCATCTACGGGTTTATATCGAATTAATTTGATGGCCTGCTCCCAGTTGGCTTGTTAGCTCAATTGGTAGAGCGCTGCACTAGTATCGCAGAGGTCAGTGGTTCGAATCCCGTACAGGCCTGAAATTTTTTTCAGGTCTGATTTTCACTATTGCTCAAATAGTGCTTTACTGCGAAGGATCGTTCTCATATACGTCTCATAACCGCAGTTCACACATATGTTTCATATGTTTGTTGTTGTTTGATTTATCATCTACGGGTTTATATCGAATTAATTTGATGGCCTGCTCCCAGTTGGCTTGTTAGCTCAATTGGTAGAGCGCTGCACTAGTATCGCAGAGGTCAGTGGTTCGAATCCCGTACAGGCCTGAAATTTTTTTCAGGTCTGATTTTCACTATTGCTCAAATAGTGCTTTACTGCGAAGGATCGTTCTCATATACGTCTCATAACCGCAGTTCACACATATGTTTCATATGTTTGTTGTTGTTTGATTTATCATCTACGGGTTTATATCGAATTAATTTGATGGCCTGCTCCCAGTTGGCTTGTTAGCTCAATTGGTAGAGCGCTGCACTAGTATCGCAGAGGTCAGTGGTTCGAATCCCGTACAGGCCTGAAATTTTTTTCAGGTCTGATTTTCACTATTGCTCAAATAGTGCTTTACTGCGAAGGATCGTTCTCATATACGTCTCATAACCGCAGTTCACACATATGTTTCATATGTTTGTTGTTGTTTGATTTATCATCTACGGGTTTATATCGAATTAATTTGATGGCCTGCTCCCAGTTGGCTTGTTAGCTCAATTGGTAGAGCGCTGCACTAGTATCGCAGAGGTCAGTGGTTCGAATCCCGTACAGGCCTGAAATTTTTTTCAGGTCTGATTTTCACTATTGCTCAAATAGTGCTTTACTGCAAAGGATCGTGCACATATACGTTTCATAACCGCAGTTCATACATATGTTTCATATGTTTGTTGTTGTTTGATTTATCATCTACGGGTTTAT